ATTTAAGTGGCAGTTGAATGCCGTGACTTGTTTAACCCTTGCCTCCTACAGGGTTTAGAGACGAAACAACAGAAAGTAGTCCACATTTGTAACAAAGTGACAGTTCTCGAGCTGTGTTAGTCAAATCACATTTCAATCCCATTGATGCTGCTTGGTTTCCTCATGGAGAATAGTAATAATAAAGCCTTGAATTTGTATAGATTTTCATCCCAAAAGATCTCAAAAGCACTTTCACATATAGGAGGGAAACGCCATCAACCACCAGTGCAGCCGCACCTGGGTGACCCTGCGGGAGCCATTGTCCCCTGTTGAATAAAACTGTAAGGAATCTAACGGCCCAACTGTGCATCATGGCACTCCTTCGGGTTTATTTACACGTGAAAGAGGCTGGTCTGCCTCGAGAACAGAAATGCTATTCAGTGGAGAAGAAAACAGGACAAAAATATGACTGTGAATAATAAAAAACAATTCTGAAATAAAAAAGATTACTTTAACAGATTGTCCGCCTGTACTGCGTTGTCTGTGAATGGAGAAGAGCAGCACAAAGTGGTCTTAGCATTTACAGCAAAAGAGGTTATTGTGGCGCTTAATTAAATATACAGCACACCTTTTTTTAAAAAAAAAAATGGTACTCCTACTGTTAGAGCTCACTCCTTGGAAAAAAAAGCCCGGAAAATCTCAAACAGCTACGCAACTAGAGTTTTAAATTATCATCTGATTGCTGTATCGATACAGTACAACCACAGGCTCATGTAATAACTCCCCAGGAGATCTCTGCTCTGCTCTCTCTGGGTGTTATTACTGCGTCCTGGAATGCTTGCAATGTGACTGCAATATAGAATAAGCAGTCTTGCAAACACTACCTCAGAATCCCCCTCGCAGACCACTAGGCAGCCTCAGCAACACACGCAGAAATGGTGAAAGATGGTCTTGCTGAAACCCTGTGGAAGATTACTCCACCTGTTCTGCCTAGGCAGCTCCAGGGACAAGCCTGTGAAAGACGCAGGCACTGTCTGTAGGGCAGTCCAGACAATTAAGAATCTCTCACAGGAGGATTTAGGTAAACGTGTTGATTTTGCTGTCTTTGATACCTTTTTCCAAGGTCCCACATCGACACACCACCTTTTAAATGCTCAGTGAAGCATAAAACCTGGGAGAATCCCCTGTTTAACACTGCTCTTGCCCTCATCTATAGTTTCACTGTACTTAAGATGTCAGATTTCTTCCACCTGTGTGAGTTCTGCAGGAAGCTGAGCTTTTTCAGGGTTTAGCTGCTGTGTGCCAGTGATGATGAGCTGCAGTGGCAAACACAGTTGTGCACAGATAGAAGGGTGGGGGACTCGTAGCAGGACAACTTCAAACACTATTCGTTACTCTGGACCTCACTGGGGGTCTGATCATTTGACTCACTTTTGGGTAGCTTTACATTTTTTATGGGCTAAAGCTGTGATGTCATGCAGGGAATGGGAAAAGAGGGCAATGTCATCTTATTAGTATTCACTGATACTAATAAGCAAGTGCAAAACGATCATATATCTTTAAATGCTTGCCTGTCATTGCCTGATTTCGCAGACTTTGGAAGGTACCGGGAGTGTTTAGTATAAGCCATTTACCTTAAAGGCTTTTATGCAAACTGCTACTCTTCCTTTAAAAACTGTCAGTGTAGCATCATCTAGTATTAGAATGATCTACGTGTGGGGCATGCAGAAAAAAAAACAATAAAGGGTGTGCTCAGGCACCTTCAACATCACTTATCTGGTGCTTAAACTTCCCTCCATCTTTTCCCCTAGCAGTGCAGTTGCCATGGTTACCTGGCTTGCTTTTCCAGAGTGAAAGGTGTCACCTTGGCTAAATAAATCAAGGCTGACTATGCTGCGTTGCAAGAGCGGTGTTGAGGAATGGCCACTGGAGAGCGTATTGCCATCTTAGATTCAAATTAAATCACCCTCAGCTCCCCCCTTTGCTTAAAACTGGAAGGTTACAGTGGTGGCAGGTGCTCTCTGAGCAGCGTGAGCTGAGCGCCTCATGCACTGTTCCACTTCTCATTGAGGTCTCTAGGAACGGTGCTGTTGTGAACGTCTGCGGGCCCCCCTGAGTGTTCTAAGATTCCTAACACTATTGTATTACTGGCTAATTGTTGGTATAGATTCTCTGGGATACTGCAGTTAAGTCACTGCCACACAAAGAATCAAACTGAGCCCATCGTTTTTACGGCATCCATACTGTCTGGCAGACACTTATTCCCAACAAGAGACCCGAAGCCCATCCCAGAAGTACTGTACAGGGCGCGAGGCAGGACTGCACCCCGCATGCGGCTCCGGTTCATCGCGGACCTTTTTTATTTTTTGCAGGTTCCTTTGAACTTTTCCTTTCCTCGTGATTTGGGCTGTTGCTGTTGAAGGGCAAACCAAGTGTTTTGTCCGAATGTACTGAAGCAGGGGAGTCTTCAGAGCACCTCATGCCCCGTCACTTTGATGACTGTACCTGACGGGCAGATCTCTCTTTTTTTTATTTTGTCTGTGTGTGTGTGCGTGCGAGGTGTTTTTGCTCTGGTTGCTGCGCCGTGCCGGCCGGGCTAGATCAATGGGGAAGAGCAACCGATGCAAAATGAGTTTTTCGCCAGGCCGGCGCCGAGCCCCCACCCCCCCCCACCACCCAGCCCTGCTGGTGCACTTGCGGACGGCTGCAGAATCCAGTCATCCGTCAGCGGAGGAGCAGCGCACTGGGCTGTGACCCTGGGTTAAACTGGAGACACGCTGGAGAATTCTGAACGCAGATGAATGTCCTCCTCTTTCTCCATCACCGCCACTCGGAGCGTGGGTGACTGCAATCTAAATAAGATCTCCAGGAGGTACCACTTCATTCCCCACGACTGCTGGCTTCCTTTCATTTGCAGCACCTCGTGTGTGTGTGTGTATATATATTTGTTTTAATTATTTTAGCTGGTTAATTATTTATTATGAGAAGAAGATAAATTAAATTGAAAATCCTAAGATTGCCGGCTCAGAGCATTTGAAGCTGGATTTGCTTTGACAATGTGGGTAATTAAAGTCACGTCGCTGATAAGGAGCTTGTCATAATTTGTAGGCTGCTCCAGACTGCAAGACGATGTGCTTTTGATTCCTCTCTCTTTCCTTCTAAATGTGCTGGGTATAAACAGCGGATGAAGGTGGCGGTGGCTTCACAGTGTCGTGATTGTGCTTGGAAATTGCAGTGACCCGGAGGTGATAGCCTGACTCGGTTAGGACAATTAACTGGGTCATTCGCCTCTGTTCAGATGGCCCTGTAATTGCAGAATGCTCCCAACTGCCATACAAAAGAAAAGGACAGGATAAAAGGATTTTTCCCGTGACTGTGAGGCCGACGTGACCTCTACCAGAAGTGTACAAATAAGCAAGAGCATTTTTCATTTCTCCACCGATATCTGATACTGCAATATTCCCTTCCCTTCACATGGATTATGGAACATTTTCAGCATAATAGGCCTCAACAGTCTATCGCTGTCACCGTTTCCATTTGCTTACATCACCCATTTATGTCCTGCATCACTGTTTCATTGTGGTTCGTGTACGGTGGGCTGGTGTGTAGTGAAATTATTTAGCAAAATTTTACCTCACGGTCTCAGTGTGTTCCAGCCCCTTCATTATTATTTTAGATTTGTGATTCAGCACACCTCATATCTTATACGTCACAGACTCTTTGTACCCCTGAGAAATAGTTTTGTAAACATACTTGTCTCGTCTTGGATGTGTTACAAGTCTATCACCGTCAGTGCTCCTCATTATTTTCATGGTAATTTTAAACCTGTCTTGACGTAGAACTTATCGTGTCTGGTATCGACACTCTCTGGAAACCAGACATGAGGAAACAATCACTCATATACATACAGTAATGAAGGGCCTGTACTTGTGCATCGCTAGAGCACAAGGGATTTGTATTGACAGGACTACAATTTGGAGTGTCATTGCTTCCCTGAATCCAGTTGTCTTCGAACAAGTGTGCTTGCTTTCATTAGTATTAGATTCCTTTTCTCTTCGATTCCTTCCTATTCCCTTTTATGATATTTACAGCATATACTGTGTTAGGATTGTGTCATTATATATCCAGTGTTCAGGTAACACCGATTCGTCAATGAACGTGTTATGTACAAGGACAAAGACAAACGCTCTCGTTAAATTATTGTGCTTTCATTACAAAGGGTACACACGTAGGCACCAACACTGTTGAATGTACAGGCTTCTCTTTTGTATTTTAGCGATTACTTGATCTTTCACCTTGCCTTTTCAATGGCTTCAGTGGTATATAGGCTGTTAAAAGTGTCAACATTTGCGTGTACTTATTTCAAGATCTGGGTTCATAAGAAACAGTCTGGATGGTTTCATCAGGATGTCAGATTTCCGATTCCCTGTCTGGCTCAGCACAGAGTTAAGACCAACATGGCAGGCATTCATGGCTCTGACTTCATTTTCCTTCTATATACTTGAGAGGTGGCTTTTACTGCACTTAGAACTTGTAATTCAGGTAGGATGGTAATGCACAGCATAAGGGAAATTGCAGGAGCTTTTGTGGCAAGAAGCCTGTTGCTGAGATAAGTGTATGTGGATGACATTTCAAAATCTAATAGTCTTGAGTAAACAAGTGATATTTGTCGGCTTTGGGGCATTCTTGAGACATGTCTAATATCTAAAATTGCTTTTTAAGACTAATGCATTGGCTCACCTGGAATCATCTGCTGCTTGTTCACTTGTTAGACACATGTACAGTATATACTGAGGCTCGTCTTTACCATGACTTTGTTGTAAGCTAGAGCACACAGGTGATTCAACATACCCTGCCTCCGTGTTTGCAATTGCAGATCTGGCTAAACTGTGCAGCGGCAGGGTCGGCGGGGGTCACACTCCTGACATCTCATTTACCGGCCGGGTCTTTATTCCAGCACCTCCCCGCGCAGAAAGGCCCAGGAGCAAAGGCTAACAGGCTTCCATGTTTTTGTTTTGCAGAGAACCAGATACCTCACGGGTTCCCCACCATTGACATGGGTCCTCAGCTGAAGGTGGTAGAGAGGACGCGGACAGCCACCATGCTGTGCGCCGCCAGTGGGAACCCTGACCCCGAAATCTCCTGGTTTAAAGACTTCCTGCCCGTAGACATAGCTGGCAGCAATGGGAGAATCAAACAGCTGCGCTCAGGTAAAAAGATCACCACACACGCTCTCTCTCTATACACATTAAATCCATGCAAAAAAATAATTGTAAGAAATGTTAGTAAGCACTAAACTTGATCCTTGAGGCAAATGGGTGTTCCGTTTGAATTTGCCTGCAGACCTTTTAACTGCGGTAATTATGTCGCGCAGTTGTGCGGCTGAATAACACTGCACGACTCCTGTGTGGCCTTGAAGATGTCTACGCACCTAGTACAGTGCCCTGCTGATCATTACAGAAAAGGGTGACGCTTGTTTTGTGAGGAAAAGGAACGTGGGCCTTACAGAGAGCACCCCTCTATGAAAGAAAGAAAAAAAACGGTCTTATTTTGTCTGCTGATAGCTAAGGTGACAGTGATCCTCTCTGGAGCTTGTTCTTTTCTCTGTTCAGAACTCTCTGGTTTCTGCCTTCACCCCTTTAATGATGATCACAAAAAAAGCAATCTGGGTCCAGGACAGTGAATCTGCAATACCTGCGAGTCCCCTGTACACTCCTGCCAGGTGTAAACCAGGATCTTTTAAAACCTCTCTTTGGACAGACCTCACTTGATTAGTCATCCTCTGCCAGACAGAAGGCTGAGTGTTTTAAGTGCCATATGGTTAAGATTTAAAGACAATCTGACAGGGTGCTTCTAACCAGTAGGCTTTCTCCAAGCCTTTAAAGAAATGCCAATGTTTTTCAGAGGAAAAGTAGAAAAAAAAAGAATGAAAGCTCTTCATGATAAATCTATCTTTTGATGTCCTCAGCCTCTTCAGCTGTGCAAGGCCACAGGCCCATTCTTCCAGCTGCAGTGATAGTTGTTTCAGATGAACTCAGATTTTATTGCTATTACTACAGCACAGCACTACTAATTTGCAGCTTCACTATCTTCAGAGATTTCCCCTCCTGCTGTGCATTTGCAGATGCATGCCTTATTTGGAGCAAGGCATTTTAAAAACGTGCATTATTCTCTTGAGGACCTTATTTGCATGAATACAACAATTAGTGACTGACGTAAAACGTCCGTATTCTATAAGTAAATTAGACATGTAGCAGATTTGTATATATTGTTTGAATTTGTTTTCAGGCTGTCTTTTGTTAAATACTAAATATCAAAGTAGAACTCTTTTTTTCAATGTGCAATTAAAGTCCCTTTTGATTTTGAATTGACCTTTTTGTGCTCATCTAGAAATTTTCTTTGTATTCTTTGTGTTAAACCCAAGCTTAAGCCCTTTAAAACAAAAGAAAGGAGTAGTTACAGCTTATATTATTGAAGCACAGGCTCTGCTCCCTGTTGCTATCGATTGCTTACGGTGAAGGCTGCCTGGTAAATACACACAGCTCTCTGCTGCCCTGGGTTCAGTCAGGGAGGATGAAAAGCAGAGGAAAGAGATTACCATTTCTGTACAGATTAATGTTACCTGTACTGCAGTGATAAAAACATAGGAATTAGAATCTCTAAATGTGTTTGTCCTAGGATACACCCCGATACCAACCAGACTGTTGTTGCAGTCACCAGAGGAAGTTATTGAACTGTTTAGCCTTGCAATTTATTTGCAGTTTCAAGATTCTTGTCTTCTTTACAGAAAACAGCCCTGTATGAAAACAGCAATAAGCAGAACAGCAGGGTGATAAATGCTCAAACTAATGAATCCTTTCATTTAAAACAGTTCTGCATTAGGACCAGGTTTTCTTGATCAAAGATGGCAAAGCAGGTACGAGAAGTGCAGTGCTCTTATTAGGCAGCAGGAGGTTTAGCACTTCAGATGGAAGAAGCAGGCACTTGCATTCACTGCAAATAGGAAGTCAGATAGTCAGAAGAACTTGTATGAAAGGAGAGGCCTCAATCAGATGTCTTGTTTTCTATTGATGGATTTTGAGCACTGCTGCAATGAAAGCCTCCAAGACATAAGTGCACCTGTGGAAAATGACACTACCTTCTTCTCAATGCATTTTAAACCCCCCAAACAAGTCGCTTGAATGTTTTAAGAACATGCTATATGGGATTTTATGGAAATGTAGTAATTTACAGAGTTGTTGTTTTTTTTTAAATTGAAACCTATTGCATTCAAGCCTGTTTAAAAAGATCTTCTGTTGCACAGGGAGGTAAAACAACTTGCTACACCCTGGCGTGGATTATCAGCATGGATTATCTCAAGAGAGGGTGTCTGGATTGGGGGGTTCTCTGGAAGATACTGGGGGTCTTTCTGACAACTCTCAGAGTGCACAAAATGTCCCGTGAGCTGCTGTGTCTTGCGCAGCCCACAAGCCACACAGCTGAAAGACGTCTGCCTTTCTCAACCCCCTTTCTTATGCTCTTCTATTCCTATAACTGGGTGGCAAGTGATTGGTGCATTATTCAGACCTCTCTGTCTGTATAGTCACCAACACATCCCCCTATCCTGCTACATATGACTGGATATGCTTAAGTTTCCCTTTACTAACAACTTGAAAAACATGTTTGAGGGACGTAGTAGAGAATTGAAATGGAGTTGTACTCTGTTGACCTTTTTCGGTTTTAAAGTATGTCAGTTAGTTGAAAGCTATTGCTTATATCTAAAAATGTTTCCAAACTCATTAATTCATGGTTTGGATATTAACAGAATGCTGACAAATTAAATGGTGGGCCTCAAATTTCGTTAGTCTGCTAACGATCCGGGCTTCTGAGAGAGTAAGGTCTTTCATTATTCAGTAAAAACATGTGCCTTTTCCTTTTTTCTTGTTTCCGTGGTCAACTGTCAGTGTTAGCAGCCTGCCCAATTAGGGGCTCTGATTTTTTTCTGGTAACTTGACAGAGGCTTGATTAAGCACACCTCAGATAGCCGAGGATAAAGGAAGAGCCTGTTAATTGACAGGATATTTTTTTGGGGAAAAAAAGCATGAACATGTGGGCTATCATTCACTCTCTTGTACTGAGCATTCCCTAGCCTAGCCTCTAAGAAGACAACACTGAGACCCCACCCCAACTCTCCCTTGGGAACACTGTCCCAGAACACTGTACTAACCTCTGAGGGATGTCACTCTTAACTTGTTGCTGAGCATCAGCCTCTCTTTGTAATTTGTTTTTTCGCTTAAGACGTAGAAAAGTATTCAAAACTAGTCTCCTTCTTTTGTTGTTCTTCTGTCTTTCCTCTCTTTTTACTAACGCTTCTCTCTAATCTTATTTGCATTCAAATTACCTCACCAGGTGGTACACCAATCAGAGGTAAGAATGCTGAAGTGCCCTGAATTGTCAACTCACTCCATCCCCCTTCTCCTCTCTTCACTGTTCCCATTTCTGGCTTTCTCTCGGCCCTAACACCTCCCTGCTTCAGCACATATCCAGTTGTTCTGTTTTGTTTTAGTTTTCTTTTTTCAAAAACAAAAACATAAACAAGGCATTGAGCAAAAAGAAAATCAGACCTTGTTAAAACCATTCATTTGAAATGTTGCTTTGTAAAGGGATTACTCAACAGGAAATTGGTCTTGATGCAAAGTACCATGTAGAGCCTTGGCTTCTGTCTCGCAGGAAGTGTGCTGTGCAAATTAACCTCTTCGGAAGGGGAGCAGGACAAGTAGAAGCTGTGTTTTAATTTGTAGACCAAACAAAAAAAAAGTCTTGGCTATTCTTTTAAAATCTGTTTTTCATAAGCTGTTGCTTTGAGGCTGGAATTGCTCTCTTGGCAGAAGAGTTGATATGATCGACACAGCTGGAAACAGGCGTCTGATTCAGAGTGGAGGGAGGGCTGATTATTGACGAGGCGGCAGCAGTGGTTAGGGCTCTGGACCTGCTCCCTAAGAGGTGGTGGGTTCAAGACCCTACTGCAGTCCGCTGTTGTACCCTGGAGTGCGGTTCTATTCTCAGATTGTACATCAGTGCATCCAGCTGTATGAATGTGTACAATCTCCCTGCAACGGACTAGCCTCCCCTCCAGGGGGAGCCACGTAATCTTGTCTACTGATCACTATAGAAACGGGGATAAACTATGGCTTGGTGAGTCTGAAGGCCTGATGGTAGACTTGCCACTAGGCACTGATCACTAGTGACCTCAGCCTCAAAAATGTCTGGATGTCCAATAATGCTATTATACTTCTCATACAAAAGCCTGGTTCTTCCCAGAATGAAACATGAGTTAACAAGGGGAATCAGGACTTCTGTCTGTCTCCTAATTGTGCGCACACAGGACCTCATGCTGTGTCTGCCAAAATGGAGCAAGAGACAATGCTGTCAGCCCAGTAAAGGTCTGTAAAAAGTCTCTTTGCTTTTAAAGAATACCAGTGGATGCGGGCAGTGGATTTGTACCTGTTGTTTATCCCCTTTACATACTAATTTATGTTTCTCAAATGGGGAAAAAAGTATACATTGACCGAAACGCTGTCATTCTTCAACACCTCGTGAATCACTCCTTGGGAAGCGAAACAAACATGTCCGCATTCCTGTGGAGCTTGCCTGTGGACTGGGTTCTGGTGCTGTGAGGTAGCTGGAAAAAAATGAGAAGTGTCAGGAACTAGATACAATGAATGGGTTGATTGTTTTCATCCCTTGGATCTTCAGTGTCAATGTCAAGGCTTCTCACAGTGAGCTTGTGTGCTAAATCCAAAAGCCAGATTAAAACTACAAAAGAACCTCTGCAGCAGGAACTCCAGGGAAGGGGTTCTTAACCTTGTTTTGTTTGTTGGAACTTGCTTTGGCTACAGTTTAAACTAAAGCTGGCTGATCATAGACGTCCGATCCCCTGTTAACAGGCAGAGTGTACTGTCTTACTAATGAGTTTCCCTGTACTTCAGAAAACGCACCGAATCGCTAGAAGAAAGGTAGGAGAGAGGGTGTACGCTGAGTGTGTGCGCGCGTACATGAGTGTATGGGTGTAATACCATACAGGACACAACTGTTGTCTCAATTTTCCCCGAAGATGGAAGATACTTATCGGATCTCCTGGTTTTGAGCCTGTCAGGTTATGGATAACAGAGCGCTTTGATCAGATAGCGATGATGGCTCACTGCACCAGATCCATCTTGGATGTTGTCATGCATCCATTTTATTTAATTTTTTTCTGTCCGCAATGAGCATTCTTGTAATGAAGTCATTCATTTCACAACACATTCTAGAATCCTTCTGAAATATATTTAAATATATATTTTTGTAATGTGCTTCACTGTGTATAAACTGCATGCCTGCTTACTGTTTTTCTGTAAAAATATATATGAAGTGTCATCTTTCATGCAGTGCTCTACAGCAAATGCATAACTGCATAACTGCTAGAGCAGGATAGTAGTGTCCAAAGCTGTCCGTCAAAAGTTGTGTTATATGTCTCTTAAAAAAAAAAAGAAGAATCAATTATCCGTATTGTCAAAGGTGAATGAAGAAATGTTAAGACGTTCAGTCAATGTTTTACACGGTACCAAAGGAATCAAAAGGTAAGTTGTCATAACTGATTATGTGGAGAATGTTTTGTCTTCTGTCCTTGAAAATCTTTCGTGTTGCCCAGATCGTGGTGTGAGCCATTTAAACTATTTTGCCGATGAAGCCGGTATATTAGTTCTCATGTATTTAAAGAAAAAAAAAAACCCTGTATCTTTGTTTGGCCAGCCCAACCACCTTAAAATGAAAGCTACGATAATAACCAACACTGCACAATTCTCCCAATTGATTGGCAATTTGCTGCCTGTCTATCTGGCAGGTTTGGCTTTGCTACACTTACTCGCTGTTGGTGGAGCGAGTGTTATTTGTTTTTATGTATTCCTTCTCTTGATAAATAGCAGCCTGCTCGATATGGAGCTGCTCCCGCTTTGCTGAAGGGGTTATGGAGAGTGGGGCTCAGAGATAGCTGGGAAGCCCATTCTCTGCAGTAGGGCTTGGCTGTCCTTCAAATAAGCTTTACAGAGCAAGAACAATAGCATGTCGCTACCAGAAATGGGGTTAGTAGAAGCAGCTAATTCCTATACAGTTTTCCTGTGCTAATCTAGCTAATTAGCCCCCTCGTAGTTAGAGTTAATTGTGTTGCATTTTGGTAATTTGTTTCCTACAATACCGGTAGGATCAATCTTGCCCTCTGATTTCAGGTCATTTAACTCTGTGCAAAAAGGGAAGGTTAATTTTCATTTATTAATTATTAACTTATTCCCAGTGTGCCCTTAGTAAACATGAGTTCTGTTTTTGTAAAGTGCTTTTCTATTTTTTTTCCCCCTGTCTTAGAGACTTGTATCACAAGTTTTGTTTGCCTTCATATCCCAATGGCCACCTGCTAATGGCTATTGGAATGATATTTCAGCCATATGGCACAGCAGTCAACATGTAAAATAACTGGGAAATTACAGAGCATGCAGCAAACACTTCTTTAAACCCTTGGAGCCAATTCTTCACATTGCACACCTCTGACAACTTTGAACAATGAATTGTGCCATACAACAGCAAAAGCAAATCTGCCCATTTATAAGGCACAATGCCGTCCTTCGTTTTAGTCTGAAAAGAAGAGACTGTTTTGACTGCCAAGAACTGAGTGAGGATTAATTGCATACAGAGCCTCCTCTGGTACATAGATATCATATCCTCAAAGGTCAGGCAGAAAACACTCTTCCAGTTGCTGTGAAATGTGTTGGATATGAATTCATTTCCCTGTCTTGCACGTGTCCCTTATGTGAGATTTTTTTTTAATGTTCTGTTGATTTAAGGGCTGTAAGGCACAGACATGATTTAGTACTCAGACGCTTCTTTCTGCGGTTGTGCAATCTAATAAAATAATCCTGGTCTGTTAGTATATGCAGCCTGCTTCATCAGCTGTTCTGCAAGTTCTTACTGCTTGCTTTCTAGCGCTATGCAGCGGTGTTGTTTCCAGTAAACACTTTTTTTTTGTTCCAGTGGAGTAGTGAACTGTTTGCTGCATCATTGATTGAGGGGCTTGGCACTTTGAAACCTCGCAAAATAAACACATTCTTTAGGGCTATTAACAAATCCTACTGTACCCTTAGGGGGTACCCTCAAAGTGTTCCCTTTGTTGTTTAATTTTTTCGGCTTGTAGTGGGTTTCCCTTGCAGAGCTGGGGAACAGCACCTGCCTACAGCCACGGTGCTGCTTCTCTGACCTCACGAGCTCTGTGTCGGTACTCCCCTTGCGGGGCCGTAACACTCTCTCCCCCTCCGCTTTTCTGCTGTGTGCAGGAGCCCTGCAGATCGAGAACAGCGAGGAGTCCGACCAAGGGAAGTACGAGTGCGTGGCCACCAACAGCGCGGGTACACGCTACTCCGCCCCCGCCAACCTCTACGTGCGAGGTAAGAGCCGCGCCACCTCCGAGCGCCGCCCGGAGGCGGGTCGGGTTTTACGGGCGTCTCCCACAGACGCGTCACTTCCCCCCCTTACGGGGTCCTCTTTCGCCTGCAGGTGATTTTGTGTAGAATAATCTTGTGTGTACGCGTGATCGGTGGCCCCAAGGGTTTTACACACGTGGGTAAGGAGCACTAACCCCCTTTTTTTTCTTTCTCCTTTCAACGGGAGTTTTGCAGACTGGTCACTCGTAACACCGTGCTGTGTGGTGGTCCGTCATTTCAGCAGCAAGTGTCTCGCAAAACTGAAAAAAAAACTGCACATTTATTTAAGGTTTTTTTGTCATGCTTAGGTTGCCTTGCATTGTAATTCTTCAATTGTTGTGTACATCTCTGCACTGCACGGACAAGGAGCTGTAGCTTTTTGCTCTACACCAGCCTTTTTTTCTTTTGTTGTTGGAAGACACAGTTTTGAATCTTTACATATGAGAAAGTAATATGGGGTTTCAAAGCTCCTGAGTCTTGCAGATTTACAGAATTTTCCTTTCATGCTCTCTGACTTGGATGGGACCCGATGCTTGGCAGTGGTCTTTCCCAGTCGCGATGTGGGAACAGACACTGTCTGGGGGGTGAACTTAATAAGAACAGTTGCAAGGGATGTTTTGCAGGAAGGAAAGGAGATACCGGTTATGAAAGAAAAGAGAAATTGTCACAGCGAGTGCAAAATTTGATAATTCACTTACCAGTCACTAGAAAGGTGATTTTAGAACGTTCCCAGCTCTCTGTTCTCAAAGGCAACTGTAACACACATGCTAGTCACCGTTTTGAAAAGCACTTAAATGAAATACCATCTCCGTGCTGTTCTGTCTACAGCCTCGCTTTTCCCAGTGACCTCCATGTAAACGCAGTAGGGGGTCAGGCATCAGAAGAAACAGAATAATTCCAGTCTTAAGTGGCAAGTAGAAGAAACCCAGTTGTCACTTCTTGCAGTGTCTTTCTATTTTATTATACAGCAGGACTCGTGCTTTTTTGGGGGCCAGGCAACAAACCTTTCTATTCCAGGTCACTGCAAACAGTGAGAGGCACAGCCTGTCGGCTCCAGGAAATCATCAAGTTAAATGCTGTTGTACATAAAAGGAATCTAGTGCACAACGGAGGTATAATTATTTATGTTAATAATTGAGAAGGGGGATAGGAACCTCAGCTGTTACCCTTTTCTAGTCACCCCAAAGACCAACAGAGTTTCTTGTTGGTTTAATTTTAACTGCACTGATTATAAAAATATTAAGTAACCTCTGCCTCTTTAAGAAGTCCCTTCATATACATACAGTATGCTACTGTCCACAGTGTATGCCACTGAGGGCTCTGTACTTGTATGCCTTTTGTTATGAGCTGTTATCCACCTTTTGTATCATATATTTTGAAAAACAATTAGGGTCGAGTGTTTGTAATAAGCAGGTCTGTCTCTTTTCAAGTTTACTGTAGCAAGGAGCACAGCAGTCAGTAAACGGAGCCAAGTCACACACTTTCTTTGCCAGAGAGGTAATTAGTGTGTAGTGTTCGATCAACATCACTGATTGATTTCCTGCAAGAGAGCATTCTTCTAAGAAACGTTTCTTAACTTTATGACATTATCTGCAGCATTATCTCCCATGCTGTTGTATGTTCAATGAATGAAAAATAGAAGTTGAAATTCAAATAAATTCAAGCAGTTAAAGCTAGAATTACTGACAGAACTTATCCGCTTTTGTTCCTCTGTAAGATGGCGATGTTCAGAAATTTGGAAAGTTTAATATTAGATTTGTATCTAGTATATGCAATTTGCAAGACAAGTTATTTCCTGAAGGAGATTCAACATGGCACCTTTATGGCTACACTTGCAGGTCAATGACCAGTATTTCTCTTCTTATTTGCCCAGATTTTATCTAGAAAATGTAGACGAATCACAGAGAGATGTTTTACTTGGAAGCGCAGTCACAGTTAATCCAAATATTGTGTTTCTAAAGTATAAACAATATTCATGAAAAAATCTGAAATTAAGTCACTGAATCTGAAATAAATTCCATTTGTTTTTTTTCCATAGTCCTGTATCTCTGAATGTAATGAATGAATGTTATTAAACGCATGTATAAACATGCTTCCCGTATAATCCGTATTGTTCCCCTTCGAAAACAGATTATTTTTTCTGGTTTGTGGAGTAACCAGAAGCATTTATTCAAATCAGGGCTTGATATTCATTTGAGCAACTCTTCCTGTGATAAGAGCACAGTAGCAGATCTGATGATGCTCGCAGTTTTAGTTCAAGGTAAAAAAAAATCACTCCGAACTCTGTAGAGTGCCACCAGCTGTAGGAGAGGTTTTTGTGTTGCTCCTGGTACTGGCTAAGTAAAAGTCAGCATACAGAGACAGCTCTGCAGTGGAGACCTGCCTGCTGCCAAGCTTCGACTGCCAGATCCCCGATAAATGACACAGCACAGCGACCGTTTCGCACAGCATCCCAACATGGACTGGACGAGAAGCAGCCGGTCTCCGCTGTCCGTCAGATGGAGGTGCTTTTACAAAGTTCGCGTTTTTGTGCCTCGGTTAATTTATTTTTAATTAAAAAAACATAATTTGCCCTAAAACTGCAAGCCCCTACAACAGAGTATACACCCTGCAAGTTTCCTCTCCCAAAAATGTATATGGACAGCTATGATGGAGGCAATGTATATAATAAGGCCTTGACAAAGTGCTGCACCACCCCAAAGTCCAAGGACATGGTATGAAGACAGGAAGGGAGATCCCGTGAATCCAGGGGAAGGAATGTGTGTTTAACCTCAGCGAGAATAACCAGCCAAGTCCTTTTCTGCCACTGCGAGAGCCCAAGATCTAAAGCAGGAACAACATTAACAACATTGGATAATAGCGGCATGCTTACTCGAATGATACTAGTTACTGTAAGTCTGGAGTTAATATGACAACTTATTTTTAATTGTACTTGTTAGTACTAGAATTGTACTTATAGCCGGCCAAATGATGTTTAAGCTGGGGACTCTGAAAATGGTTTAGGACCCTGTGGCAGGCATGAAAATTGCTGGTGAAAGTTTCAAACTTTAAGAATGATGGGTTGTTGATGAAGCAAGTGGATCACCGGATGACTTCACAAGGGGTCTTTTGAGTATGTGGTTTATGTTACCCATGTTGATGTCCCAAATTTAATGCCTTACCTGTCCCGTATTTTATATCTATTGCAGCTAGGCTGTCCAGTTTTTAAACAGAAGTAATCCTTCCTTACAGTCATTTAAGGTGTTCGGTGCTAGGAGGCCTAGAATTCATGTCACAGCATCAGAAGTGGCAAAGCAAATGCTAAATCGATTTAAACTCCTGGGCAGTTGTGACCCTTGACCGACTTTCGAAATGTCAGAACAAAGAAGCAAAGGGAGAATGTTGAAGAGAGCTCAACATGACTATACTGCAGAGTACATGACCTGATCTCTCCCAGGACAACACCTGCTCAACCTGCCAGAGAGCACCTGGATCTTGCATCAGTCCCCGGCGCAGTCATGGAAGATAATTGTCTCTACCCTGAGCGATAGTCAGTGATTAACCAAGCACTGGGGCAGCTGCACAGTAAACGCACAAAGCCATAGAAGAGGTTGGTTCTTCAAAATGGAGCACTTAGAAAATAACCATACACAGAAATAATTGATAAACACAGTGCACTAATCACACTTAATTATATCCATTTAGTACTTCATTAAATAAAAAACTTCCCCGAATTTCCAGCATTACATTCTTAGTTTCCCCTTGTCATTGTTTCTGTATGAGAATATCAGATTTGTTTTTGGATACTTATATACTTTTAGAACATAAATTGAACGTTGAAGGCAGGTGGTGTAGAACTGTCAGCTTCTAAACGACTTGAAATTGTTGATAACTGAGCAATGAAATGAAGATGTTCTGCTTTTACCCTACAACAACATTAAGGGAGAAATAGCTATTAAAGCACCTAGGAAAATTTGTGGTTATGAATAATTTTGTGATAAGCTCATAGTTAATGATAATACCCATTATCTGAATCCTAGGTTCCAGGTGTAAAATGTAAGGATAGATGTCTCTGGCTTATTCATATGCATCTCACAGCGAGACTCAGTATTCCCCTTAAGAGGTTAGCATGGTGTTTTGATCGTTTTTTAAATTCAGAAAGAGACAAAGATGTGTCCTGGGAAAAAAAAAGCCTACCCTAGCATCCCTTTCAGTATAAAATGGGTTTTGTTCACTTTACAGTTTCCTTTAATGAGGAGTGCAGTGTAGAAATAGAAGAGAATTTGTCACATTTTTTCAGCAGTCTTGCCTGAGGTGTTGAAGTCTGTGACTTAAAGGCGTAATGAATGTGTGACCATCAGTTACAAGAGAATACCCCAGGAATTCGTTTCTGTGCCTGCTAGCCCTAAAGGGAGAAAAGATCGTCTTTTTTTCTCTCTCCGCTGAATTTTGTTCCTGAAAGAATGCAAAAAAAACATTTGTCAAAGGTGGTGTGCGATGGGGACATTCACAGTTCCAGCGGCATTCCAATAGGGCCGCTTTGCATGGCAGATGGCAAACTTGGGGCCAACTGCTTGGTTTTGCCACTTGAAGTACTCTCTGCTTGTTTGGATTGCAGTGCTTCTAGAACACATCTTACTGCCTCCAAGGGCACTAGGGGGATAGTCTTGCTCCAGTTAAATCCTAAGTGATACCTGAGGTTCAGCACGACTTTCTTTTCTGTTTCATAGCTATCGTTTTTAATCTTTAAAACCCAGGAGGCTGCATGTATGGGGAAGAACCCTGCTACTGATCTCTTGGTGAAAAATCTGTACAAATGTTTTTTACTCTCCTCTGAGTGTATTTCATGGTACTGAAACATGAATGCAAAAATCTGGTTCGGCCTTTATCCTGTGAAAAACGTTAATTGATAGTCAATTTTACTGGATCTTTGTGCATCTCATACGAAGATAACGGACAGCTGTTAGTAAACTCTTAAATCCAGA